TCCCCTGTGGTTGTGAAAAACATCATCATCAACTACGGCCGCAATTGTCGGGCCAGGGTTGTCTTCAAGAGTTACTTCTAAATCACTGGCATATGGAAATATGTTTTCATGGAAGACTACATCGCGGGAGACGAAATATTCACCACTCTCAACATCATATACACGCCAACCTTTCTTTCCGTAGGGATAGCCTACAAAAACACACTCCCTACTCCTTGCTCCAAACTTATTCTTATCTCGAGGACTTCAATGAGCATAGCAGAGACAGCCAAACACTCTTATTTGCTCGTATTGAGGTGTCGTTTCGAACAGTACCTCGTACGGAGTTTTCCCGCCAAGTATGGAAGAAGGTGTCCTATTTATCAAGTATCCAACGGTCAAGACACTCTCCCCCCAAAACCGAATAGGTAAACCCACTTGAAACCTCAATGCTCTAGCAACATTCAAAATATGCCTATGTTTTCTTTCCACTCAACCATTCTATTGGGGTGTTCCAACACAGGAAGTCTGATGCAGAATGTCATGAGTCTCGAAGTATGACTTCAGGCCTTTAAACTCTGTTCCATTATCACTTCGAACAGCTTTGACTTGCTTGCCAAATTGGCGTTCTGCCATGGCACAAAAATTCTCAACAATATGTGTTACTTCAATTTTTTCAAGTAACAGGTAAACCCACACAACACGAGAATAATCATTAATGATGGTTAGAAAGTAAACGACACCACAAGAGGCAGGTACTTTATAAGCACCCCATGTATTACAATGATTTAGAGAGAAACAATCATCAGTTTTATGTTTACTTTCAGGAAAAACTTCCCAAGTTTGTTTTGCTCTACAACAAACATCACATGGCTTATCTCTTTCAGGTCTACTATTTAATTTACCTACTTTAGGAAGTGAAGATAATATCTGTTCAGACGGATGCCCTAATCGACGATGCCACAACTCCCATTCACTCATTCTACTTGTTCTATTTGCCCGAACCGGTGCTGCTCCTCTAAAATGATAGACCCCATCACACTGCTCACCCGCTCCAATCAGAGTCCTGTATCACGCACAACTTGTCAGTAAAAGTGACAATACAATTTATCTCTGGCAATAATTTAGCTACAGAAATAATGGTAGTTCATTCTTGGTACAAACAGCACATGATGTAAATAAATATTTCCACCCAAATGCAAAGTCCCTTCCCTTACTACAGTAGTTTGTTTCCCATTGGGAAGTTCCATCAGACATGGTGTAATATTCCGAACATCAATCAATAAATTAATTTCTCCAGTCATATAGTGCGACGCCCCGGAATCAATTATCCAATCAGTAGAATTTTTCTTAGCGGAAAGTCGTTCAGATTTATGTTAATTCAAAATATTTAGAAGTGTTGTCCATTGGTCTCCACTCAGCCCCGGAAACCCGCTACGGTCAGGATCATTTGTGGTTCCAACCTTCTATCCTCCAGTCTCACTTCTCGCTACTTGGGCAGCGTTTGCTCTTGCCTTGTTTCCTCGTCCTCGTTTGCCGACACCCACGCTCGAACCACTTCGTCCGCGGCCTACTCCTTTCCCGGTTGAGCGTGGACTATCTCCCCACCATTCTAGATATCCGATCACCTGAAAGCAGTCCTTTGCTTCATGTCCGGATTTTCCACAGTGTGTACAACTCACGTTTTTATCCTTTGTACGTGCAGCAGTTGCTTTTGCACCAGCACCTACATGTACCGCAAAACCCACAACATCACTTCATTCTTCTTTGCTCTTGGCTATACTTTGATGCCTTTCCTCTTGAATGACAATTGCATAGACACGGTTCAAACTCGACAACGGCTCTATGCTCAAAATATTCGAACGCATGGTGCCATAAGTTGCGCCGTCAAGGCCCATCAAGAACTGATGTACCCTCTTCTTCTTCTCGCTTCTTTTCAAGTATGGTCGCAATTTTGCAGTTGCAACCGCTACAACGACACATGGGTATCGGATCATAATCCGCCAATTCGTCCCAGATGACCTTCAACTTTCCGTAGTAAGCCATCACTACGTGTCCCTGTTGTTTACAAGCAGCCAAATCTCCCTTTAATTGATGGACTCGAGGTCCATTCCCGATAGAAAATCTTTGTCACAGATCCTCCCACAAGTCTTTCACGCTCTTCGTATATGATATAGTAGATCGCAAGGTTGGTTCGATTGTATTGAAAATCCATGCAGCCAGCATCGAATTCACCATCCACCAATCTTCGATATCGGTCGAATCATCTGTTGGTTTACTCAACGTTTCGTCAACGAACCCGAGCTTTCTCTTTGCTCTGAGGGCGTTTCTCATGGATCTCGCTCATTCCTCATAGTTCTCACCTTTTAACTGAACAGGTGAGACGATCATTCCAGGATTGTCAGACGGATGCAAGTAGTACGGCGAGAAGACGACCGTGTCTTTCCCTACGCCTTTTCTACTATCTTCTCCTCCGCCCGACATAATGAAAAAACCGTCGAGACGCCTTCTGAATCGCTGGTGCGCACTGTTGCGCACTGTTCTGATCCTTCGGTAAAGAAGAAAACCAAAGACTGTGGAAGGAGGTTTCAGAGACACCACAAGCAATTTTTCCTCCGATCAAATCAGAACGAAGAACGCCTCGGAAGGGACTGTAGAGGAAAAGAAACGTTTTTGTTCCACTTCAAAGGAAAAAGAAGAGAATCCGAAGAACTTTGCAGAGTTCTTGTCTGAACTGCGAAAATCGGAGGATTCTCGATCTTGATCTCTGTTTGGAGTCTGGTCTGCTCTTGCTCTGAATAATGAGACGAGCAGTGGAACTTCTCTTTTTTCTATTTTTGATGGAAGTCTCGAGTTTGGATTCTAGTTTCTGGGAGCGCCGTAGTGAGAACTGCGGAAGACAAAGTGCCAAACTGGAACCGGAGTGCAAAGTCTGTCCTTTGCCGGTGCCGAGCAACGTCGTTGCCACTACTGATCTCCGGAGGTCTTAGAACACAGACCTCTCGCTCTCATTTCTTGCTCTGATACCATGAGAAAACTGTGGAATTTTTGTTGTGTCATTTATATATACAATTTCCTACGCCTGAATTTAGGAGAGATTCATGAAATTACTAATTACAAGTTCCCAAAAAAATGTGGGAAACTACTATCCAAATACATTTAGAAAATGTGGAGATTTGGTTTCCCAATAATTGGAAAAGAATTTACGTCTTGATTCTCATCATTAGTTAATTTTTTTGGCCAACTCCCTCCTAGTACCACACTCTCCTATCCGCATTTTTCCTACAAATCAGCCTCAAACCTGCCCTCTAGAGAATAAGTTTGTCAAATTCCTGACCAATGTAAAATGCAAGTAGCTCGTCAGAGAGCTGCGACCGCTTTCAAATGGTCCCAAATTGTTGAAGCCGACGCTAAACATCCTTCCGAGCCTATCCTCCTCAGTCCTCAGTACCTCTTTTTCGGTCAGCCCCTCCTGAGTCCTGTCCCTGGAGGTGGGCCCGCTCCGAGACCCGTCTTCATCCTCCCGCATTGTAATCGGTTCTGCCGAGACAACCACAGGCGCCTCCACTAGAGTTCCGTCCCCTTAGCTTGAACCTCATGGATGAACTCTTTGATCCATGACCCAGTCATCCAATTAGCAAAATTCTTCCATTAGCTATTTATCTAATAATCAGGCCTGATATGTCACGTCGGCCTGATAATAGAGCTTGCATGCATAAATGGAAATGACGTATAATGATTGGCGCCTGCAGTAATTCTAGTAGCTACTTTAGGCGATTCAACTCAGCAGTAACTCTCCAAGTAGCAGATTTCACCTACAAATTTGGTGAAACTGTAGTTGGCCAAGGGACAAAATCTTATGGTTTACTAACGTGCAACAGTGCAAGTAAACTAGTAGCAGAGAGGACGACTGCATGCGAGGAAGAAAAGACAAAATTACAGGGGCCATTTTGGCAATCCGTGCTAGACTGCTAGCTGTGTGGTGATCGAATGAACACGCTCCCGTTGAGTAAAACATGATCAGAGCCCGAACCCGAAATGTGTCTATCATTCATTGGCTCCAAGTTTCAGAAAGACAAAAGGTGAAGCCATTTACACAATGAGCCTGATCACCTGTGTGGTGATCGAATGAGTGATGGACGATGGGCAGAACAGAGTACTGATCATGGTTTACACAATGAGAACTCTCTCATTAATTCTCAGCTGAAGGGCAACTTATCTGTACTCTCCCTTTAGTTATCGTGTGGGAAATTTGGAAGAATAACGAAAAACGTAAATATATAGCTCTGCTAGAAACTGCTCTATGCTTGAGGTTGGGTGTGTTCAGACTTCAGAGTCTGAACCTCATTAGATTCATGTCTCTATTCCACCCCTGTTAACTATGTTAAAGTCAGTGTACATGGAGCGCCGAGAGGTAATCCCAGTTTCCCAGTGACAGTGTTACTGCAGGAGGGAGTGTGATTAGATATGATGACCTTGCTAAAGAGCAAAGAGCTAGAATTTCCTTGGCCATATCTATGAGATTTCACACAATTATCTTAAAGAGAGACTCATTAGTCATAGTGAAGGTACTTTATTAATAACAGTGAGTTCAATCCTCAAAAATTGTTACGTACTATGACTCAGTTTGGAAGGAGTACATTAATGTACAAATACAAATACATAGAAAATAATACAAAATATAAGATTTTGCACTCTACGTACATATTTGTATTTCTACTAATTCCAAACTGAGCCTATGAGGGTAAAATTAATGTCTCTTGTATAGATCAGGAGATTAATTTCCAGGTTCAACACATTATTTTGCGTGAAGGAAACCAACCAGGTTGCAGACTCACAAGCGAATTTCACTAGTTATATATCAACATTGCTTCTTCCACGTCTTAGATATGACTAGTCGATTCCTTCTTTATATTTATTGATATCAGTCCTCCATAGGGTTTTTATAACTTAATGAAACCAAGGTGGCCGGCCACCCCTCCACCAGAGTAAATTTAATTTTGGGTTAAAAGAAAAACAGAGATAATTATTGAACACAAAATAGTACAGTTTGTCATTCAAAACTAACCGATCGAAAATTAGATCTTTCCAAGGACCCATCTCAACATTTGTACTACAACAAAACAATATCTAACCAGAGAAGAATAAAAGACAAAGAAAGGTAGAATTTTTTTCCAAAGTCTGGAGCCCTTCACATGGGTTGCTAACATACGCTTATCATCAGGAGCTCACTCTAGCTCCCACTCAACTTTTATGCTCTTGCTTGTTATCTCAGCAAAGCTAGCTTACCTGTGGCAAACACATCTATAGTGGTATGCACTGTTGATTGGGTCGTTCGCATCGACTGGAATTTGTTCAGCTCTACACTTGAACTTGCACCCTCTACATTCATTGTAAGTGCATGTCGGAGCAGTAGATCCAATCATCATTCTCCTTGAATTCCTGCTCCTCCATCCTTGTTTAACACCCTACAAGGTCCAAGTGGAAGCAGGCAAGAAGAAACATAAATGGAAATTAAATTATTAAAACTCATAAAGTTGAACTACAGACTGAGAGTAATTCGTTTATTTGTTGGTGTTGTTTACCTGCAAAAGCAATTCATTCAGTAATAGAGATGAATGAGAGATCCCCTCATCATCATATGGAAGTGCTACTTCAGCTTCCAACCCTGAATCACTTCAACAGCTTATAAATCATCTTTTATGGAAGCATACACTAATGAAGTATAACAAATTATTGTCTTAAAAATGAATGAAAATTCAATAAATTAAAATAACCCACGTAAAATAAGGAAGGTAACTATAAAATTCAAAAAAAAAAAAAAAGCATTAGCAGGCAGAAAGCAGTGCAAGAATGAGATACTTAAATTTCCTGTGGGGAGGTTTAACACAAATCCAAAAGAAAAGAAAGCAGAAAGGAGTAGTGGAGGGAGCCAAAAGAACAATGTTTGTTGAGTCTGACCTTGTATAAAGAATGACGCAAAGAGGAACGTGAAGAATAGCAAGATCAGGTGCATTGGTTTCTTAATGCCCATTTGCACACCGAACTGGAGAAGATATGAAATGGGAAATGAATGAATGGTCAATATTTAGAACGGTAGAGGAAGAGAGTGGGGGGGTCAGGAATTAAATTGAATAATGGCTATTGGGTATATAGACTGGCAAAATCTGCAGAGATTCAGAACATACCAAAGAGGTCCCCATAGCTGACATCCTTCTTTCAGCGCCAACTCATTGAGAGTCACTGAAGATTTCTGTCATCACTGAGATGGCTTTGTCGAAACCATCTAGATGCCCGTGGTTTTCTTTTGATTTGGGCCTTTGGTAGGTGAAATGTAAAGCAGGACTCGATAGATTTTATCCTTGTCTTCCAAAGAGACAAAATGAGACACTACTGCTACTATGCAGTAACAGGCATGTGGGAGGCCCACATCAAGCCAGCTGACTCTCTCTCTCTCTCTCCTTCTCTCCCTTCTCTCTCTCTCTCTTTCTCTCCACCCCTTTTACTTGGAACTTGGAACTATATGCTTTGATGTGGGGACGCATTATTCACCGTACCCTGCCCAAACCGACATTGGATCCTGAACCATTCGATCCAACTGCAACTCTAGAATATTAATAAAATCAAGCTAATATGAAGACCTTATAGGTACCTTACACGCTTGACACTGGTCTTTTGCATCCTTGGTACTCTCTCCAACTAAATAGTCATCCAACACAATTAGGGTCTAGTTAGAGTTGTGTTTAGTTAGATATGAACAACAGTGGTTTAATTAAATTGGACTCCCCACCCCCCACTCCCACCCCCACAAAAAAAAAGCAGTGCTTTAGGAGTTTCTGTCGCTTATGAAGGGAAGGGAAGAGGAGGGGGAGGGGGGGAGGGCTGCAAGATCATCAGAATCAAGTACTTGTACAGTCTCAATTGCAGTCTTCCAGAAAGTGAGTAGTAAATTTCCCCATCAGAAACTATGAAAAGTTATCACTGGCTAGGATTTCAATTTAATTATTAACAAATCAGATGTTTGAAACTTATTGATATTTCTAATTAGTTTTTAACATGTTAGAGTGAGAGCTATTTAATGGTGGTTTGAGATTCTCCATGCATGAGATTGGGGGGAGATTACCTCATTGTAGTTATATTATATATGATGAGGTCACCAGTCACCTTCATTGTAGCCCGACTTAATCTAACATTTTCAGCTTTGCATGCTTTGTATGGTCCATTCAGTTCATTCTTGTGAATAAGGTTAGGTCCCCCATTGAATAGTATGAACCCTACATCAGAAAGTACACACAGACCTACTACGAATCAGCTGGGAGAAAACACAGAATATTTTGCTTGTCTCTCTCCACTTGATGATGAGCCCGAACCAACAACAAGAATACCCACAGTCATGCACAGTTAGCGGAACCAGTAGCTTTGAGGGGGCGAAGCAAAAAAAACAATCCATGCATGGTTAAAAAGAAAGAGAAAGAAAAAAAAAACAGAATCTGGTCGGTTAAGTCAGATTAAAATTTTGTTTAAAATTTTCCAAGTTTACTTCGTTATTCTTGTTGGTTTTTTAGAGATAAAAGAACATGTGTATACCAAGCACAGTAGCACAAATCTTCCGTTCTTTACAATATACAAATACCTATAGAATAATTGGATTAAGAAGGCAACCTTAATACTCTCGGATAGGGTGGACACAGAACCATGTTTTTGAATAACTATACGAGTTCTAATATTGTATTAATTTGTGGTAAATTCTAGAACATTCTAATATTTCACAATAATTTTTGATAATTATTGGTAAATTATGGTAACTAGTGGTAATTTATTTATTAATACTTTTTGGAGATTTTCTACAAATTTATGATAATTTTTGGTAAATTATTGTAATGTATTTGGGTTTGGTAATTTCTATTTTATATATATATATATATATATAATAGTTTATGATGCTTTAATGTATTTCTGGCATTTTCTTTCAATTTATTTCTAGTAATTTTTATAAATATTAGTATATAATGGTAATTTGTTTTGGTTTTATTATTTAAAGAATTTAGAATATTATTTATTATCTTATTAATTTCAGGTGATTATCATCATTAATTCTACAAATATATGGAATTTACTGGTTATTTTTTACTAACTTATACTAATTTCAATTAAATTATCGTATTTTATGGAAATTAGTGGTTACTTTTGGATAAGTTCTAATAATTTCTGGTAATTTCCATTATATACTAATTTATGACAATTCTTGGTAAATATATACTAATATTTTATACTTATTATTGATAGTTTATTACATTTTAGGCAATTTAACAGTTACTTATGGACATTTTCTACAAATTTATGATAATTTTTGGTAGATTATTGTAATGTATTTGCGCTTACATTATTTGATAATTTCAGGTAATTTTCATCATAATTTCTACTAATTTCTTGTAGTTTCTTTTAATTTTCAAAATTACGGAATTTGGAATCATTTTTTAAAACAATATCAGTAATTAATTTGATGACTTTCCAATTTACCAAAAACCAAGGGAAATTACCAAAATTAATTTTCAAAAATTATTTTGATATTTTATTTCAGTAATAATTTTTGAAAATAATATCAATATAAAGTGATATTTAATTTGAGTAATTGGAGTTTTTAATTTCAGTAATTTCACTAATAAGATTTTTAAATTTTAATTTCAATTTCAGTAATTGGATAATACCATATTATAATTTTAATTTCAGTAATTTCAATATTTAATTTTTGTAATTGCATTTTCTAAATCATTATTTATAATTTCAAATATTGATGGATAATGATTTTCACTAATTATCAATAAAACCTATTCTACAATTATCCATCAATATTTGAAATAGGATTAACGGCTCTAACAACCCTTGTACTATTTGAAAAAGGCAATTTTGCCTTCAAACTAAAAAACTGCCAATTTAGACCCTAGACTTCAAAAAAAAGTCCAACCGTAAGTAGATAACACCCGGTGTTCTACGTAGTTCACAATCCGTTAAATAAATAATAAAATAATAGAAAATGCTGATGTGTTACTATTAAATTCAAAAAATTGAAAATTTGCAAATGAATTCCATTGAATAAAATAAAAATATTTAATATATAATTAATAAATATTGAAAATAATATATAAGTGACTTAAACTTTCATCCTTTAGAAAAAGATAATAGGTGAGCCCAGTTAGAATTATAAGTAGGCCCTACATTTCTCTCTCTCTCTCTCTCTCCCATAATCTCCCTCCCCTACGTTGCCCCTCCTTTCCACCCGCCATTGCCGCTGCAACTCCAATCAAGAACTCAACATAGCCTCAGGCATCACCATTAGAGGTGTAGTCAAATGGTCATGGCGGCAGTTGACCCTGAAGATCCTTGGCCCGCATCCCTCTCGGCCATGGCGATCCTTCAAATATTCATTGCTTTCGTATGTCTGAGGTTGCTGAGGACGCCATTGTTAAGGTTGTTCATTCTGCCAAGTTCACTCATTATTCCCCTACTGTTGCAATTCTTCCTGAAAGAAGGTTAGTAGTTCACTTAACTTTTATGCTTTTATCATCCTCCTACTGTATTTTGTTTGCTCCTTTATTATTTTCTCTAGTCTTACTTTTGAACCAATATAATTCTTGTCTCAAGTGTTTTATTCTTCTATATTTGCAGCTTGACACGCTTCATTTCACCTTTTCTGTTTGATTCCAGCCTTTGTTAATACGCTTCTTTTCACTTGCCTTTTTTACGCTTCCACAGTTGCAAACTTCATTATTTCACTATAAAAAAGTTATCCAGATTCTTAAAGTGACCAACTTTTTAGGCAATTCGTGATGTTCTTCTCTTGGTTTACAATTGTTGGAAAATAATAATAGAAGGTAGAGTGGAATTTATCGGTAATCACTTTCCAAACTAAGAAGTTGCAGAATTGTAATTCTGCAAAATTGTGAGTTTGAGAAATCGCAAGGAGAAGGAGGGCTGAGTCATGTCATTTGGTCATTCTCCTTGAAATCGCATTTGCCCCCTACGGTGCAGTCGGGTGATTATAAATCGCTCAATAAGATAAAACAGCCTAGAGACCACTGGTAGACGTACACTCGCTTATCAAACCTCTGTAAACCACCAAGAATGATGCTTAGAAAGAAGATACTCGACAGAGAAAGCAGACTGTATTGTGTGCACTGTTATGTATTTCTAGGTCGACCAACACTCTCTTTATAGAGTGCTCTTAGAGTGTCTTTTTGAGAGATGTCTCTTCAGAACAATGCACTTGTTCAAAGAGACACAAAGTAGAAGAGACACGAAAAAAAATGAACTTTGAAATTCAAAAGTCAAACAATTTTAAACCGATCAAGACCAAAATGATTCGGTGTAGTGTGCGTATACACGTATACTACCCATGCCCGTGCCCTTGCCCCCACCCTGTCCCAGCCCGGCTCGGCTTAGCTCGCGCATGTTAAAAGCACCCCCAACGCCCCTCACATGCATGTGAACATCTATAGTGCTTTCCTCCTATGGGTCCCTACCCATAGAGAGAACAAGTCTATAGATATATTCAAACTCAACTTCCTTCTCAAGCAATGTGGGACAAGGAGTCTTCCCATGAATTCAAAGGACAAAAGAGAAAGAGACAAAAACCAAAAAACACAAGGGAGGGAGGAGAGATTCTTGAAGTTTTGAGTCTCCCTCCAACAATCCCCCACAAAATTGAAAATTACAAGAAAATCGAACAATCTGAGCATCACAGTGAGAAAGGTATTCATGGAGATGTCTTTTGAACTTCAATCAACACTTAAGTATGGCAGGCTATGTTACAAAGTACAAGTGGAGTCAGACTCCTTCAACCTTTTCTCTTTGTCGTAACTAGCTAACCTGCCAACTAACTCAGCTCACTAGTACTTTAGTGGTTCTTTTGTTTTGGAACATTTCAGCCTTGTTCCCATCTTGAAATCATGAGTGTTCTAGAGAGTTAGCCCTTAGATCTCTCTTAGAAGCGACCACACTTCACACTCACTTAGGTCAGTAATTTAGCATACACTACACAGACTATTCTTAACTGATTAAGAGCCTTACGTTCAACCTCCTCAAACTGCAATGAGCACTATCTTACTTCAGCGTCTGAAATGGGGCACAAATTGATATTGCTTTCCCAAATCATCTAGCAACTCGTTTTACCCATTCAACCTAATTCCAAGGATCTCCTTTCACATAGCTTAGGTGTCCATCACTAATGACTTATATAACGGGCTTCAGCCCCATTCCTACCGATGCCTCATAAACCACTTTAGATG